ATTTATTCCCTTGTTCACTTCAACTCTTAATTTAGGAGAGTTGTTCGTTTTTCATCCTTTGGTATTGCATGGATTTTAAATGATATTACTGGATAGTGTATTATAAATGTGAAACTCATTTCTAAAAGTAAATCTGGAACATGGCCATATCATTCCTAATGCATTTAAATGAATTGCACCTAATGCCTTTTGGAATTAGGTAAGCAGGATGCGTCCCTCCAGGGAGAGAGTCTGCATTCTCTTCCAACAGTCTATCTCTGGGATTTCCATGTGTAGGTGGGATGTACAGAATTCCCAGCTTGGTTTGGATACCCTGAAGCATGGTGATGGGTTTCCACGTGTGTCAGACACTCGGCTGACCAAATAAAAATTATTGATGTGTCAATGTCAGATCAGCTTTCATACAATTTGTACCAATATTTATATTGTAATTGTGCCAAGATTCAATTGGTATGTTACAAAGGGGTTGATCTTGCAAATCAAATCTTGCAAGATGAGGCTTGCTACACGATCAGTTGGTGTGTATACATGTTGCTCCAGATATGGAGTTCACTCTATTCCAATAAGAATTTAAAGTATGCAACCACAGAAAGCAACCTTTCTCCAATACTGTAATATTGTTCAGAAACGCAAAAATGAGACAAAGTTACTTCCTGTGATAAAATAAAAGCGCTCCACGATGCTCCCTCACATGAAGAGCGCTATATAAATGAAAGTTGTTGTTGATGCAGGAGTTTTCCATCCAACCTTTTTGCTTTCTTATCTAATTTAAAGAATAAACATTACTCTCACCCAGATACCTGCTATCATATTGAAAGCAAGCTTGCATTTTATATAATGCCTCTTGACATTAAAATGTGTCAAAGAGCTTCTCTTTGGCACTCGCCTCACAAGCGAGAGGACCTGGGTTCGATTCCCAGCAGGGCGAAACATTGAGCAAAACGTTTCACAAGATTTACTGTAAAGTGTAGTGTCTGTGTATTTTGTAGGCAAACGAACAAGACGTGCCAAGCAAATGATGTGTAAGAGCATTGGAATTGCTAATTCTGTTAAATTATATCTTGTCTCATCTCTGATGTTAGGAATCTGCGTCATTGGGATGAGGTAACTGGTCTACAAAACTCTGAGGGTTGATATGCTCAATCAGTGTTTTGCTGATAGTTGAGAAGTGTTGGCTGTGTAAGCCCTATGAACAATCATTTTTATGACCAACCTTTCAGAAAGCATTGATTTCAGGAAGCACGTGACCCCATCACCCCCATCCTCGCCAACTCTACTGGCTTCCCATTATACAGAGGATACAGTCCAAGATCCTGGTCCTCGCCTTCAAAGCCTCCATGGTCTTGCATTCCCCTACCTCTGCGACTTCCTAACCCTCCACCATCCTGCTCACTCCCTTTGCTCAAAGGGCTCCAACCTACTTCATGTCCCCCATCCTCGCTCTGCCTCCACCCTCTGGAACTCCATCCCGCAGTCCCTCCGTCTCAACCCCTCCCTTGCCTTCTTCAAACCCATCTCAAGACCCGCCTCTTCGACCATGCTTCCGATCTCCCTGCTTCCCCCCCTGCTCTCCACCCTCCCCGATCCCGACCCCCATCGAAACTATCCAGGGCCTTGGGACGTCCTCCCGACGTGAAAGGCGCTATACAAATGTAAGTTTGTTGTTGTTGATGATTCTTTCATGTATTGTAACAATTGGCAAATACTGATGTCATTTTAGGTCCTCCCTGAGAATCTGATCAGATGCTGTGATCCAAAGTGAGCTACGACCGTAATTTGACTCATAGTTTGAAAGTTACAGACATGATCTAGTAACAAAAATAATACATTGTGGGGTTTGATTGTGATATTTTAATATTAGACTGCGAGCTTCATACACTGACTTCATTCTGCCTTCGTCAAGTTCATCAAGTGTTCAGCCAAATCCTCAGGAGTATGTTTATCTTTACAATTGCACTCAAGGAGGAAGTAAAAATAAAAGTAAATTTGAAAACTATTTAAATTTGGGGTTAAATGATGTTTAAAAATTTAACCAAGAAAATGTTTAGCATTGCCAAAAAGTCTGAAATCTTTTCATGTGAGATGTTGTTTTGCTGATGTTGAAATTTGTTGGAATATAAGAAATACAGGGTGACCAAAAAGTCATGATACCATTACAATGTCTAATAAGTTTTAAAGAAATTATGAATTTTTTTTGGATAACAGGTTAGATACTCATGACATTTTGGTCACCCTACATAAGAAGGCATAGAACAAGAAAACCTGTTTGGATCCATTCAACCTGTTCAGATCCACTGCGGTTTGTCAATACATTTCATTCTTGTTAGTGAGTCTGTGTCACTGTCTCACACCGCAGGCCACCAAAACCCTCAAAGACGCATTCATAACATCCAGACTTGACTATGCAAACTCCTTGCTTGTCAGCCTCCCCAACTCCTTCTTCCATAAGCTGCAGATCATCCACAACTCTGCAGCCCATATCCTCTCCCGCACCAGGCTCCATGACTCTATCACCCCCATCCTCGCCCGACTCCACTGGCTTCCCATTGTGCAGAGTATACAGTTCAAGATCCTGGTCCTCACCATCAAAGCCATAGCTCCCCCCTACCTCTGCGACCTCCTAATCTGCCTGCTTCCTCTGCTCAATGGGCTCCATCCTGCTTCACGTCCCCTGCCTTGCCTGCCCCACCACTGGCGGGCGGGCCTTTAGCCACTCTGCCTCTACCCTCTGCAACTCCATCCAACACTCCCTCCACCTCGCCCCTCCCCTTGCCTCCTTCAAGACCCATCTCAAGACCCTCCTCTTCGACTGTGCCCTCAATCACCCTCCTTCCCCCCCCGCCCTCCACCCTTCCTGATCCCAATCCTCATTTCGGGTCTGAAACACTGATTGTCTAGCATCTTGGGATGTCCTCCCAACGTGGCAGGCACTATACAAATGTAATTATGTTGTTGTTTGTTTGCTGTTGTTGTTTATGGCACAATACGTTGTAACATGGGAGCCAGTGTTCAGCACAGATTGATCCTTAGACACAATGATATATGCACAAGCAATACAACTAATTGGCAAGCCAGACTTCCTCAAGTTACAAGCTCAGCTCACTTCTTGACTACAAATTCAGCCACTAACTTTGAAGGACAAATTAAATAGAAATGGTTCAGCAGTTAGTTTTAGTCAATTTCAGTACTGTTATCAATCTAAAAATGTAGGACTGCACTGTGTTGCTTTTGAACAAAATAGATGGGTTTCATTGTTTTTTGCTCATTTTAAAAATGCTGCAGGAATAACTAATTTCTAGATTCCAGTCACATTACTTAAACTGTTGTAAACTTCCACACAACAAAGCGTTTTTCCATTTTCTCCTTCACTTCTTCCCCCCTCTTCAAATGTGCTTTTGGTCATCTTTCTCCTCCCCACCCCCAGCTTGGGTGCCCATCCAGAACTACGAAGTGTTTCTATAATCCTTCATGGCATGAAAGGCATTATATAAATGTTTTTGTTCAGTCTTCCTTTAACTGAGTTCCAAAAGATTTTCTTCTCATATGTATAATGATTACAGCACTTCTCATGCACTCCACGTATTTGACTAGACATTATGATGTGGAAAATGAGCTCATCTGTTACCTGTCACAGTTAAAATTGAGCAGCAGCATGTGGCTAGGTCTTTTTTATTTCCGCTGCCATGGATTGTTTGATCTTGAGGTGATGCTCTAAGTGAAACTGTTAATTATTAATGGGAGCTTCAATGTGTCAGAATACTAATTAAATTAAACCTGTATGCAGATGGTTATATCCGGTATCTTCTATTTATGCCGGTCAGTGTAATTAGCTAATGGAATGGTGACTGGACAGAATTGAAGTTCATGTTCAATGTCGTTCTGTAGGAGTGTATTGCCCGCTATTTATAAGTAAGCAAGGCATATATATCATTCAGTATCCCAAATTATAGATGTTTTTGAATTGAGTTATTCCTGCAGCATTTTTAAAATTGTGCTCATCAAGGGCATATCAGTGATGAGCCACATAACTTATTCCTATATTTTGCACCCAGTATTGTCATCAAACACAGCCAGATCACATAAAGCATGGCCTAAATATAGAGCAATAATCCATCTTTTTCCTCTCAAAATTTTTTTTTAAATCCCAACAGCAGAATTCTAACCCCTACTGAAAGAGCACAATATACCCATTCCTGGATTCTGAATGACATTGGAATTTAATTCAATTATGAGCAGTTTTTCTTTATGGACCTGCTTCAATTTTACGCTAGGTTACAAGCAGAAAAACTTGTAATAGATAAGATTTGTGCATGATTGCTGCATCCCAGAAATAAGAGAGAGATTTATATCTTATTAGTCTAGGCTTGGCTCAGATAATGGATCACTATCGCAAGGATGTACAATATTTTGATCATATATAATTCTATGACTCAAAGTCCCCTCAAAGTCCTCCATTACTAATAATTTAACAAGATAACTTTTGTCTGCTTTCACACACGTGTAGGAGTGGAGTGTTGGAAGCGGCCGGGCCAGTAAATTTCCCGTGAAGCGCTTTGCGACGTCCCCCGACGTGAAAGGCACTGTCTCAAAAAGCGAGCGTTATTGTTATTTTTAGACGAAATTCAGAGGCAGAATTTTTCGCCACTGGAACTCTGCAAAAACTGTCAACAGTTTACTCGCTGATAGACGTCTAGTGCTAAGTGCTCAAAAAAAATCTAAGTCGTGTTGTGCCAGGCAAATTTCTGTTTTGCTGTGTTTTCTCTCAAATAAATAATAATTGGCCTGGCATGTGATGTAGGGTCTATTGAGTCTGCACTGAGTGAGTGGGGGGGAAGGGGGGGGGGAGGGGAGAGGTGCAACTTGCTCTCTCAATTCTTCGCGACAACCATGGTTTGACTTTACGTTAGTGGCTCACTCCGCTTTCCGGCAGGAGGTCGATCTGACAGAGAACAGAGTTGCCTCCGAGCCTCACCGGCTTTACGGCGGAAGGGGCCGGTCACAAAATGGCGGCTCGAGTGGCCGAGCGAACTCCGTGACCGAGTTTGATCGCAGGGACTGCCTTGTCGATTATATATATATATCAAAAAAATGTCCTCGTCCGGCGGGAACATAAACGCGAAGGTGTCCAGGCTGCTGAGCAGGAGTCGCGGGAGGCCGGTGCTCAAACCCAACAAACCGCTGGTTCTGGCCAACAGGGTCGCCAACAGGCGGCTGGGGCTGGGAGGTGAGCGCGCGTGCGCACTGGGCAGAGGCGAGGCGACAATGTGACTCCTGATCAGGAGAGGGGAGAGGGGTGACAACAACAATAATAATACTCTCATTTGATATAGCACCGCATCACGTCTTCGAGACGTCTCAAAGCGCTTCGCAGACTCTACTGCAAAGTGAACTAATTGACTGTGCATTTTGTGGATGAAACGCAGCAGCCAATTGCGCACGGCCGCGTCCCCACAAACGGTAGTGGATTGAGTGACCGGATTATTATTTTTATTTTAACGGCGTGTTTGTACAGGGTGTTCGCAAAGTCCTGTTGCGCCCTCCCTTTTTCTCTTACAGTTGATTTTTATTTGCTGTTGCAGAGGAGTCGAGCGTAACAATGTCTGTCTGATGCCAGTAACTTCCGCATCACTCACTCCGTCCGTGTTAGTGGAAGATGTGACACTGAACATGGCGATATATCATTATTTGCCAATAATAAAAATAAAATATTTGAATGAATGAATGAATAAAATGTACCAATAAAAATATTTAAATGATTCACAGAGGCAACGTGCATTACGGAGATGTCAGTTATGATGGCATGTTGGAAAGAAAATAACTTCAGTGAAGTTGTCTGTGCCAAGGAGATACAGAATTTTTATGGCTGTGCAGCAAAAGCAGAGGTAAAGTTAAATAATTTTAAAGCTAGCAATTGTAAGTTGCCTGGTAGCATTTGTGTACCTTTTTAAGTAAGTTAAAGAACACTGTTCAACAGCAACAACAACAAAATTACATTTATAGAGCGCCTTTCACGTCGGGAGGACGTTCCAAAGCACTGAACAGTCAGGTGTCAGGACCCGAGCATGGGGGAGGGGTGGGGTAGGGGTGAGGGAAGGCAGAGAGGTGGGAGGGCGACCAAAAGCACGATCGAAGAGAAGGGTCTGGAGACCGGCCTTGAAGGAGGCAAGGGAGGAAGTGACACGAAGGGACCGTGGGATGGAGTTCCAGGGTGTGGGGGCAGAGAGACTGAAAGCCCGGCCACCGATGATAGGCCGGGTTGGGCGGGAGACATGCAGCAGGCCGGAGCCCGCTGAATGGAGGGAGCGGGCAGGTTGGTAGTGAGTCAGCAGGTCAGAGAGGTAGGAGGGGGCATGGCCATGGATGGCCTTGAGAGTGAGGACGAGGATATTGAACTCGATCCTCAGGGGGATGGGGAGCCAGTGGAGTCGGGTCAGCGTGGGAGTGATTGGGTCACAGAGCCTGGTGCCCGAGAGTATACAAGCTGCATTGAGTTTTGGATGATCTGCAGCCTGTGAAGGGAAGAGTTGGGAAGGCCGATGAGGAGGGAGTTTCTGTAATCGAGCCTTGATGTGATGAATGCATGGATAAGGGTTCAGCATGTGTTACAAAGAATTCAGTAAAGTATCATGGTGAGTGAGTGAATTGAACTGAAAACCTTTTTGCAGTATAATACCTTTTTCTCCTTTCTAAGCTTGACTTGTATCTAAAGGTTGCAGTTGTAGATAACCAATTAATACTGGATGTTGTACTGATGGTTATAGATCTGTTAAAATGAGATGCATCTTAAATTCACAAAGAGTTATTTTAACTGTCCGTCTTGCAGGCTCAGAGGAAAGCAAAAGCCAGGGAGGACAACTTGGAACAAGCTGGAACTTTGAGCCCCAAACAAGCAACAATTTTGCTCCAAAGATATCCAAATATAACAAAAGAAACATAAACACAGTTGTTGGGAACACGCAGCAGATCAGGCAGCATCCATGGAGAGAGGGAAATGAGTCAACATTTCAGGTCTCTGACCTGTCATCAGAACCAATGAAATATAGTACTGTTTTTGTCATGAGGAAGAACTATTAAGTTTCTCAAGATTGTTTTCTCTCTTTGTTCACCTAACTGACTTTTATCTGAATAATAAATATTATAGTTGTAAATATTTGGGGGTCTGCACACATTTAACGCATGATACATTAACAACAGGAAAAAGCTCTCAGTAAGAGGCAATGCTAACTATGTTTCTTTCGATGTCATGGCTTTCAAATGTGTTAATTCTCATTGAATTGAAAACAGTCTCAATTATTTCAGTTGTATGAATACATTGATTAAAATCATTCTTCCACCTAAGTTGTTTATGTGAAAATTGTTTGTGATCTTTTGTGCTATTTCACAATTATTTTCAAACCACTGCTGTGCATCCTTCCAACCCACAAATACATTAAAGTTGACTGTTTCTAAGCTCTGTCCAGGTTATTTTGTTACTAACTAGGAGGTGAACCAGAACAGTTCAGGTTGATTTGTTTATCCCTATGACAAAACACCAAATCTTTGTATACTTCTCAGTAATCAGGTGCTCCTCCATATTGGACATTGCAAAGCAGACTCAAATTGTATCCCTCCATAGTACCTTGTGGTAAAATACCAATCTGTAGTATTTAGCTTTCTTACAACTGTTTACAAAAAATACCGTTCAATTTATCAATCATGTAAGACAGCAACTGGCAATGCATCTTAAGATTGATTTGTAACAAGACTTGGTACAATTAAGTTTTATTGAATTAACTTAGAAATATCAAGCTTTTAGAGACACTAGACTTGATGTGCAATGGATTTATGAATTTGTATCAAATATTATACAGTCAGGCAATTAATTACGAGAAGCTCATGGTCATTTTCATCAATTAAAATGCTTCTAGAAATTAACTGAACAAGCAGATGTGACCTCAGTTTAATATTCATCTGAAGGACCGCACCTCCAACAATGCAGTAGTTCCCCGAAGATAGCCTAAACTGTCAATTCAAATATCAAAAGTTGAACAGGAAGTGTGGGTTTGAATCTGAAATCTTGTGACTGAGGCAAGAATGCATAAGAGTATACCTGGAATTTTATTTTAATTTGATCTGGCATCAGACCATTATACAGTAGTCACTTTCTTTGTTTACATTAATTAAACAATATGCAGTTTTATAGTACAGTTACATGTTACAAGATTCACAGCCATTCACACCACCACCACCAATTAATTGTGAGAAACCCTTTTTTGTTTTGAATAATTGTGAAATCTTTAATGTTTTCCTGAATAGGTAGAACCTGTTCAGGAAACCTGAACGCACCTGGCTTAAATCAAACGTAACAGTCCATTGCAGATCTGGCTGGACCTTAACAAATCCTGCTGCTCAGCCCTCGCCTCCACTAAATCATTCTACTTCAAGACAATCTTGGAGGCCAAGGACAACTCCAGGCTCCTTTTCTCCATCACCAACTGGCTCCTCCGCCCACCCTCTCACGCCTCTCTGATCCTCAACTCCAATGCCAACTGCAAGGCGATGCTTGACTTCCTTGAATCCAAAGTCAAGGGGCTCCACTCAGCTGCCTCTGCCCTTCCGTCCACGACAACACCCCCCCCATCTCCCCCTCCCACCCTGGCTCCTGCCCATCCTTCCCTCCATACCTTCGAACCTGTCTCCCATTCCTCTCACCACCACTATAACTTGCATGAAACCGACCATCTGCTCCCTCAACCCCTTCCCTACCCCTCTTCTTACCTCCCAGCTCCACCTCCTTGGCCCTCTACTCACAGACATCATAAACCTTTCTCTTTCCACTGGTACTGTTCCCACCCCATTAAAAACAGCCGTCATCACTCTAAAAAACCCTCCCTGGACCCATCTCTACTCTCAAACTGCCACGCTATCTCCAACATCCCTTTCCTCTCCAAGGTCCTGGAACGAGTCGTTGCTTCACTCCTTCCTCTCCCACAACTCCATTCATGAACCCCTCCAATCGGGTTTCCATGCTGCCCACAGCACAGAAACAGCCTGGTCAAAGTGTTCACAGAATGTCAGAATGTCCATAGAAGTGGACATTCTGTCCATCTGAGACCAGGGCTGCCTCTGCCTCCTCGTCCTCCTTGACCTCTCTCTCTGTTGCCTTCGACACTGTCAACCACTCTATCCTCATCCACCACCTCTCCCCTCAACTCAAACTTTACGACTCTGTCCTTAACTGGTTCAGATCGTACCTCTCACACCGCCTCCACTTCATCTCCACAAACAATTTCTCCTCTAGCCCCTACACAGTCTCATGTCATCTCCTCAGAGCTGTCCTTGGTCCCCTCCTTTTCAATATCTGTATGCCTCCCTCTTGGTGATATCATCTGCAGACATGGAGTCAACTTCCACTTGTATGCGGATGACACCCAACTGTACCTCTCTGCCTCCACCCTTGACTTCACTGCTGTCCTGACAGAATGTCTGTCAGATATCAAGTCCTGGATGAGAGCTAATTTTCTTCAGTTGAATGTCAACAACTTTGTCTGTCCAGCGCCTTGGGACATCCTCCTGATGTGAAAGGCACTATACAAATATAATTTTGTTGTTGTTGACCTAAGTTTAATGATTCACCTGAAATGCAGTTCCCCCAGTAATGACCCAGTGTCAGCCCAGACTATGCCCTTAAGTCCGAATCTGAGGTTCTAGCCTGGAGACTGTCAACTAAACCAAAATGATATTGCTATAATGTCCTTATAGTTGCAGAATTCCTCCATTAATTGCAATCCCACAAATGGTTGATAACCATGTCATCCAGCCCCAAATAGGAAAGTACCCCTGTCAGATATATGCTGCATGGTGATTTCACCTGAATCTAGTTTTAATCGTGGTACAGTACTTGCAGGAAGATCTGGCAAAAAATAATATAAAGAAAGGGATGCTCCGTATGTAATCACTCACAAACACTCGTCCTTATCGCAATTTGGGTCGCGTCCTTCTGGATGTTATTCCTGTGCAGTTGATTTTGTAATGTGTGATTTGTGCTTTGTACAGCAGTTAGTGAGCACACGGCGCGGAAACTAATCAGGATATTGCCAGCTGAATATGTCTGTGCTATATTTAGAGAAAAAACACCGCCTATCTGGGTCTGGTCTATCGCTGAATGGAATGAACAGGGAATAATTTTATTTATCAAAAGCTGAAATGGAAGGATTCACCATTCAGATGAAAAGAATCGTTCAGCCCATGTTCTCACGCCCTCGAGAGTTATGATGGGAGTTCTCTGCGTTTACTCAATGAGTAGCATCAGTCCCGAAGTACGGCTTTTAAAGGCTCGATCGTTCTCAATTGCTGCATTTCCGACTTCTTTGAAAATATCGTTCTTGTTCTTTGGAGTGACAAAAATAATAATCCTTGCATTTGATATAGCGCTTTTCACGTCGGGAGGACCTCCCAAAGCGCTTCGCAGAATATACTGTAAAGTGAATTGACCGTATATTTGTGGGCGAACCAGTCGTCAGAGGTTCAGAAAGTGAGGCGGACAGTTGCTCCCCTTTGCTCTCGCTCTTCACTCCACGTGGGACCACGCGCCCGCGTTCGCCTTCATCGGCGCAATCACTCTCATCGTTTCATACCTAATCCACGCCAGGGTTCACTGTTGCGAACGGAAGGCCGCGCACTTTTTTCTGGAGCTCAGCGGTAGAGAGATTCCGTTCAAACAAATCGCATCGCACGCGGAACAGCGCCCGCGTGTCAGAAGGAGAAGAAGAAGAAGAAGAGCAATTTGATGGAGGAGCGAGTTTGCCCCCTGGGTGGGTGGGGGGTGGGGGATGGGGGGGGGCACCACCACTGGGTCTTTTTTTTAAAAAAAAAGAGCCGAAATCTACCCAAAGTGACTGCGGTTTATCTGCAGTCTAATTACCTCCAGACTGGAGGGTCCCACCCTCCTCTGCTGTGAAGCTCCCACTCACTCCCACTCACTCCCTCCCACTCCCTCCCACTCACTCACTCACTCCCACGTTGCAGGTCCGCCCATCAGCTGTGGCTGATCACGGGCTGATCCCCGGGGACCGGTTGACACTCGCCCGTCGCCGTTTGTTGGGTTGGTTGAAGCTCCCGCGGGGTGTGTGTGTGTCAGTCAGTCAGTCAGTCAGACGGAGGAGGGAGGGAGGGGGGGGAGAGGACTTTGGGAAGACATTGCAATCGCTGTTCCGCTTTCCGAAGCGCAATTGCCAGAGGATGACATTTGCTGCCGTCGTCTCGGGGGTATCCGCACTTTGCTTCTTTTACGCGGCGGCTGAGGTATGTCGGAGAGTTTCACGGTGGCTTTTTTTTTTAAAAAAAAGCGGCTGTCAACACCCCCGAGTGAAATCACATGCGTGTGTGTGTGTGTGTGTGTGTGTGTGTGCAAAAAAAACCACACCCCCCAAACAAGGTAAACCCGGTGTAATTGGGGGTCGGGGTGTGGGGGTATCTCCGCTGATCTCCGGTGCAACAGCCGGACTCGCGAAACCAGTGCCACTCACTCACTCACTCACTTCACTCACTCACTCACTCACTCTCACTGTCCGTACACATCGCACCGTCGCGCACACGTCCACCGGCGGCGGCCGCTCAGCCCTCAGGAGCGCAAATGTGAAGTCGTTTGCTTTTCTGCTGTGTGTTGTGTTGCAGGTCTCGCAAACTCCGAAATCCCAAGGCAATCGCCTCTCAGGTAACGCAGCCGCTGGAACCCCCCGGGAAACGGTGGCACCGACCCCCCCCCCCCCCCCCCCCGCCCCCCCCACCTCCCGAGTCGACGGTGTCCCCCCCCCCCCCCGCGAGGCGTGTGACTTCGGGAGTTTAGTTCCGAACGCGATGCACTGTGTGGAACTGCACACAGTGACCCTGACCCCCCCCCACCCCCGGGGGGCGGCTGTACCCCTCATCATCACACACCGGGTCACCGGATCGTAACGTTAAAACAGCGCACCGAATGCTCCCGAGTCCCTCCATCATCCGCAGCCGCTCCTGGGCGGGCGGTCCCGATTGATGTTAACGGGGGTTTGTGCGTTGGTGCACACGAAAGGGTCCACCTGTGTAGGGCCACTTCATTGACCCAAATATCGTGGATGTCGGATTGGTACCCGGTTGTTGCGGAGTTCCGGGCGATGGATGACTCTGAGCTGCTTCGTCAATAACCCACTGCACCAGAGCCCCCCGACGCACCTTCTTCGGAACATCTGTTGCAGAGGGAGAGGTTGTCACGTTGAGGAATCCCTGTATTGATGTTTCGTGGAGGTTTGGACCCTTTCAAGCCCTGCGCTCCTTTGCAAAAATAGACACGGAATCCAGAAAGCACACGTCGTATTTTTAGCTGATTGATAGAGGACCTTTCTGAGCAGCGCAGAAACTGCTCTCTCTCTCTCTCTCTCTGAGTCCCTTCTGCGCTGAGAAGCTTTCGGATGTGTCTTGAGGCCACGAGTGCAGATGTTTCATTTCAATCGGTGGACTTTATGTCCTTTGCTCCCACCATACTGTGTCGTTGTTTTTCTGTCAAACCTCTGTTGGGTTTTTATTTGCAGTGAACAATTTCATGGGTTAGTAGCCATATCCCAGTATTTGGGGGGGGGCACTAATTTTCTCCCTAATTTATAATAATAATAATAATAATAATCCTTGCATTTGATGTTCTGCCTTATCACGTCTTCGAGACTTCTCAAAGCGCTTCGCAGGATATACTGTACAGTGTATATTTTGTGGGTGAAATCATCCAGAGTTATTAGTTAGAACATGAATTGTGCATTCTGCTGCTTGGATGAGTAATTGTTGGAAGGTAAAATAGATAGTGAGTTCATGGCCTTGTAATAGTGAAGAGCTTTTCTGGACATTCTGATTGTGAATTCTCCTTATCAGATTTGTGGATGAGATATTGAACTGTGTAACATTTTTGGGGGGCGGGAGGGGGGAGAGTAAACAACACCATAATCTTACCCTTCTGAGTGTAATTTTAAATCTATGAGAGTCATAGTTTACGAAGAGGGTACATCAATTTGTGCTGTAGAGGTTGAGGTCAAATATTTTGTTGGGGGGCATTTTAAAGACCTTTTAATGAATTGGGAAATTAATGGATTTAATCTGAGGCATTCCCTTCCTGAAATAGATGCAAGGCAGATTCAGCTGCTGAATTAACCTTTCCATTTATAAATTAGTTGTGTGCTTAACTTGACCCGCAAATTCAATTGAAATTTGAGTCCATCTTGCGCAGTATCCAAGCTGTTATTCTCAAGTAATTGGCCTCGGCAAAAGAGCCTCCTGTTTCTGGGACAAAATGCTGGGAGAGTACAAAGTTATCTCTTAAAACAGGAGTTCAAATGTACCAGGGTTTCTGGAGTCCGTATAATGATATTTGGTCACCTTAGCTTTGTCTGCCAAGTTTTCATTTCCACCCTATGAATGTAAGGGAGCCGGAAAACATATTACACAAGCTCCAAATCACCAGACTCTTGAGTTCAATGGCATGTGAAGAAAATAATATGTTAAATTGAAGCAGAGAGGGGAATGAGTTCATATATGTGTCCTATTTTGTCTACACAGTTGTTAGTTGGTGTTTAGATGGTGTTACAAAAGTGGGTTATTACAATGGATCAGTGACACTCACTGTGACTGGAGAAACATGTCTGAAGTGGACAGAATTTCCAGACTATGTGCAGCAATATCCAAACAAGGGCCTTGGTGATCATAACTTCTGCCGAAATCCTGATGAGGAACCAATTCCATGGTGTTTCTACAGAAAAGAAACAGGATCGATAAGCTGGTTAGAATGTGACTGCAATCACGGTAAGAAGTCACTTTTCACATTTGCTCACAGATATCACTGAAACTGCCAAAACTGTACATATCAACAACCCAGGCAAAATCTGAAGAACATGCACACGTCAACTAAGTTCTAGGTTCGTGCCAGCAATTTTTGACAAGCAGACCACAATTTTGTTAGACACTAGGTAGCACTGCTCCATAGCGGTGAGATTAGTCAGCAATGTGTTATAGTTGATGTTCAAACCAGAAATTGGCAACAATCCATACAGGAGTGCTTGAATCCATACATTAAATCAGTTTACTTCCCTTTTTGTGCCGTGGAGACAATCATCTCTTTTCTGTCAGGTAAATATTGAATGGTGATTCAAGAGTCAGGTGATCACACTCCATTCAACGTTAATGTCCAACTACACTTTTAAATTATTTTGTAGTTATGTTGCAGAGAACCTGATAAGACAGACTTCAAAAGGTAGTTAAAGTCAAGGCTGAGCTGGGCATTTTACTGTAGGGTTTGGTCTGATGTGAGAAAAAAAATCATGATGCAAGCAACAAATCTGTATGTTATAATAATAATTCTTGCATTTAATGCAAGGCCTTATCACTTTGTCAAAGTGCTTCACAGAATATCCAGTAAAGTGGTTTGACTCCATTTTGTGGGCAAACATGAAATATAGTTACTGAGTTAAGTGCACTGCATTATCCAAAGACGGTTTTAGCTGTCACAGTCTCTGTAGTTTAATATTTTCTGTGTTTAATATGTTCTAATTTCTATTAATAATTTCATTAGTTACATCACTTTTTAGAGGACAATGTTTCTGTGTATAAATTTCTTGGATTTCAAAGGTGCGGTCCGATTGAGCGGAGGAGCCAGACAAGATGAGGGAAGGGTAGAATTCTTTTACAATGGACAGTGGGGCACTGTCTGTGACAGCCACTGGGATGATCGAGATGCAAGTGTGGTGTGCCGTCAGTTGGGTTTGAGGTATTGTCAGTCTCTGCACTGATTATTTTCAGGGCCCTATTTACAGATTTAGTTGCCAACTTTGATTTAAATCTCTTCTGCAAGGTACATATGACTCATACTTGATAATTGTATTTAAAAAAAATCTTTTATTCTTTTAACCCGGGGACTAGTTTAATATTTTTTAAAATCATTTTGCTGGTAAACTGGTTACAATTTTGTTCGATTTGTAATTATTTACTTTTGCGTAAAGTTGTTGGGGAAATATAGAATAAAAACAAGATTATTTTTGGAAATGTAAAGAGGGATGTTAGAGAATATGTTTTTGCAAAGTCTCTTGGTTGCTGTCTGTATGTACTGGGTTAAATAATTGTAGAAAAATTGTATCCATCAGGTTTTATCCAACAAGTCCAGAGAATGAATCAAAACAGCAAAAGATGGAAAGTAAAGTATATAAACAATTCTTTTTGTAAAATAATCCCACTGTTTGTTGTTTCTTTTTGTGCTGTGTGTCTTCAGTGAAGTAGGTATTGCTATGAAGAATTCATACTTTGGACCAGGGACAGGACCCATTCATATGCAGGTTGTGCATTGTCGTGGAGATGAGACAGCCTTGCTCTGGTGTAGAAACAGCACATTAAGAACAGGAGAATGCAGTCATGAAAATGATGTGGGAGTTTCGTGTGGACTTCCAAAAGGTAAAAGTCTGAAGTAAACATCTCAAAGTGGTCAACCATAAACTTTATTGAAGGATCTTGCACAAAGAACTGTTAGCAACTGTTAGTTACATTCTTCAGAAAATAGCTGTACAGCTTGATTTTAAATGGGTTATACCATTTTATTTGTTGCTTGTTATTGAGCTTATAATTGTGCTCATACAGATGGTGATGAGTTTACTATCCGCATTGGTGCTGTAGAGTACGCAGAAGAGGGGAGATGTATTTTTCAACAAAGGCTTTTACTGCTGTTGATAAGTTCTTGTCTTACTTTCTTCAAGTGCAGGTTCAGTAATCCCCATCCGTTTAGTTGGAGGCAAGGAGGACTATGAAGGTAGAGTTGAAGTTTTTCATGCTGGAAAGTGGGGGACAATCTGTGATGACCAGTGGGATGATTCAGATGCGGAGGTTGTCTGTAGACATTTGGGACTAAGGTGAGCAGATTGCATAACAAAGTCTATACTTTGTTAGCTGATGGAACAATCTATAATCCTTATCTGGAACTTTTTAATAGAGGTTAATAGAGATTGGATTGTTACGTGCTGTGAATTGAAGGAGTTGCGGTCAATCTAAATTGTGGAATAAACAGTCAAATAAGTAAAACACTACAATTACATTTAACATCCTTGACGATATTGTAACTTTCCCTTGTTGTCCTTTCCCCTCCCAGTGGAACTGCCAAATCATGGACATGGTCTCATTTTGGCCATGGGTCAGGCCCTGTATTACTGGATGAAGTTGAATGCACAGGCAATGAACTGCATTTGGATCAGTGCAAGAAAAGTAACTGGGGAGAACATAACTGTGATCATAAGGAGGATGCTGGTGTGACCTGTAACCTATTTACAGGTAAATAGTTTCTGCTTTTTTCTGTTTCTAATTCTGTTATTCTGTGGGGGAGAGGGGGGGTGGGGGGCAGAGTTGAGACAGAAAAATAGATTAGTTAGTCCAAATAGCCTGTATTGCTTTGTACTATCTACATACATTATTAAAAATACTCCTTCAAGGTACCATTATTAGTAAATTTGCTTTGTGGTGGTGAAAGACTTACAAATTTCAATGAGTTACATTTTGAAGGAACACTTTTTATGGTAGGATAATTTTCAAAAATATGCAATAAAATGATTGCCCTGCAGTTGATTATGAGTTCACTGGGCATTAAACTCCAAATCTCAGCATATTGTGTGGAAAATGCCAAGCATATTCTGTGGGAAGGTGTGGAAATGCTGTCACTTGAACTCTGTAGCAACCAACATTTTTTCCCCTTATAGACACTGAGGATTACGTTTACTACTATAAAGTAACTAATGTGTGCTTTATGATTAACAATGCTTGCTTCAGAGGGTGTTGTACGACTGGTTGGAAACAGAGAATACAGTCAAGGAAGGTTAGAAATATATCATAATGGAGCTTGGGGAACAGTGTGTGATGACAAATGGAGTGAACTGAATGCACAGGTTGTCTGCCGGCAGCTTGGATTCAGGTAAGACTTTTAGGTAGCACGCACACACTTGTGTGCACACACATACCACACACACATACTGGTTCATGCCCTTCATCAGGAATTTATGTTAACCAATTGAAGAAATTTAAAAGTTACTTTTGCAATATTATATAATTTCTTCCTATTTTTTGATTGAATTTGAGCTGTTAAGTATAATGCTCTAAGAATTACTAAGCTCAATGTCAATCAATGAGTAAAGCAAATTTAAGAGTACTACACAAAAGAAAGAATTTGCATTTTTAGAGTGTGTTTTCGTCTCAAAGTGCTTTGCAGGTAATTACTGTCAAGTATTTGAGTTCATGCCTTTGAGGTCTTTCTTCAAGTCAAAAGGTTACCCACCATCACTTAATGTTAGTCGCATCTCTGAGTTTTGAAAACAGTTTGACTGCTAAAATGAGGCATCTTCAGTGTTGAGGTGAGAAGAGGGAAAAGTGACCTTGCTCAAATTGGACCTCTTGCAAGTTATTCACTGAGTGATACTCTTTCCTGGTGTAAAGAAGTCTACCAGTTGAAAGGTCACGGATTCTTGGCTGAAAGGGGATTTCTACAGGTGGTGAAATGAGAAGAATGGAGGGAAGGAAAGTCTGAGAGGTGGCAAGTTGATCTGAAAAATAATTGTGGCACAAGCCAATTTGCAAATCCATCACCTGCCATGAGAGATAAAAGCTTCAATGTCATAAGACACGATGAAAACAATACACATGAAATCTTAAAATTAATCCATTTGCTTCATTATAAAGTAGTACTTTGTAGATGGTGCCATTGATGTATGTGAAATAACAGCTCTTTAATTTAGTAAATACGCTCTTACAGCAGTATATCTTTCAATTGCAGCATTAATCATTCAAATTTACCATTGACAGTGGACCTGCATCTGTAGCACCAGAGGGAAAGTTTGGACAGGGAACTGGATTCATATTCCTCGATGATGTAATTTGCACAGGGAACGAGGTGCAACTTTTGGAATGTGCTCGAAGTAACTGGGGCCAACATGATTGTTCTCATCATGAGGACGTAGGCGTAGAGTGTAAACCGGAAGAGACTAATAAAATAACTGAATCTAATGTAGGTAAGCATTGTATAGTTGGCAAAAAGAGTTAATTGCCAACCAACATGAAACAAAGAACATGCCCACTTTGTGTAACTTCCTTTGTATAGCCAAGCTTCCTGTATATTCTAAATTCTTCAATCATACGGCTAGATTTGTTCTCTGTTTAGATTCAGCGTGATTGGAATCTGACGTTTGTCAGCACCTCAGGTCCTCTGTTTAGAATACAATACCATGGTTTATTTTGGTTTCCTAAAATAAAGATTTCTTAAGGTATTGCAGTTACAATAAGCAGGGGAAACCACCCTGGAGGCATTCAAACTGGCTGTATCTAAAATGTTTGATTTTCCAAGATGAACATATAAATCTGAGACTAAATGCCTAATACTCCACCCCCCCCCCCCCCCCCACCACTTCTATATCGTGCTGAAAATCATTGTTTAAGCACAGGTATGAAGAATGGCCCTATGGCAGGTAGTGCACACGAGCTCGAACCCTCAGGGAATGTTCTCCAGCATGAGGCTATGCCTTCAAGAGAGGAGGAGAGTATGGTGGAGGGAGAGGGAAATAAATAACCCTTGTTATCAATCTTTCTTTTAATCATACCTTTTTTGACTGATTGAAATACCATGGCAGATTGAGTGGGGTTGTCAAAATTCAATGACTGGCTTTCAGAAGGGCAGGCCATGGCTGTAATAACTTTGTGTTTATATTAGTCGACAATACCATGTGTATCAGATACTGTGTGTGAGCTGTGAGCTTGTGCAAGAGTCTGTACATGTGTTGGCGTAATAAAAAAAATGTGTTCTTGCACTATCAATAGTTATGTTCACTGGGTGCCATATGCCACTGAAATAAAAGGTTTGTAAATTCCCACAGTTATTAAAAATACTGGCCAGAGACTAGCAATCTTCCAATCTTGTTTCCACTCATAAAAGGAAGTTGGATTTAGCCCTTCTTCACCAGTGGCAGATTCAGCATATTACTGTGGTAATTGATGCATTTGGTTATATGAATTCTATATTTTATATTTCTGTACTCCTTTGAGATTTTTTTCCTTTTTATTTTAAAGGAATGTCTCTTAAATGGCTAATTGTGCTCTATCTACAGGACCACCCATTCGACTAGTGGATGGAGAAGCCAGCAAGGAGGGACGTGTGGAGGTGTACTTCAACCGAGAATGGGGAAGTGTCTGTGACGATGATTGGACGAACAGAGAAGCAGTAGTGGTCTGCAGACAGTTGGGTTACAAGTAGGTTAGAGAACCTACTCACAAAATCAATCTGTGTCTAGACTTTAAAACTTCTGATATTCCTGTGATACATGGTGTGGCACATTGCACCTGATCACAGGCTCAGTTCTTCTGGATAGCGGGTTCATTTTCTTCACCATCTAAGAGAAAGGGAAATCAATCTTCAGTTACATTCAAGGGCAACACCCAAGATTGCCTGCATTTAAAGCAGTCTGATGTCAAGCTCCATACTGGAGCTGCACCTCAGCCTTTGTCTAAAAACAAAGGCCACAAATTCCCCTGCATTAGTCAGTAAAAAATATCCAGCAGCATTACCTGTCACACAATTGCTGTGGTCGTCACCAGTATGAAAGTGGAATATAGTAAATCACTATGCTTGCATATTTTAGGCAGAATAACTCTTATACAGTATATTACAGGGTAGGAACACATCTCTTGGTTGAGGAGACATTAATAACCTGCTCAAGATTTACTCTCGCATTTTATCTCAATCCCTTTGATGTGTTAGTGGCTTGTAATATACAACAGACACCTGGATGTTATTCTAGATTTGTCCTTGCTAATAATCCAACCTTGCATTTTGTACAATTGGTTCTATCTTTTCCAAATGATTTTTAAAGTTAAAATCAACTATATTTAATCCATTGCAAGGATTATTATCAATTTTAATCTTCACCCTTTTAAAGTGATGATTTATTCCCCTTTTTCTTGAAACCCTGGAATACATTTCACTTCTCACTCAAGCAGAAATGCAGGAGGCTCCTATCCTTTGCCGATAACTGGGAGGGCTGCCTGGATTGATTCACCCCTTCAGTTTCCCTGGGTCCCTACTTTTGCATAATGTAGAGAACTTTGAGTGTGAATTGGTGTCCCATCACCCTGCCATGATACATTGATTTATCAGTAAATCAATAATATTTTAATAGGGGAAGAGAAGAAAATTAAAATTTGCCACATTTATTATGCAACAAAGTTCTAAAATAAAAATACCAAACACATTCCAGGTTTGTGACCATTTTTCTTTGTTATGTTCAGAGCAAATGGAGAAGTTACAAGGTTGGTATGGATAAGAAGACCCTTCGTCCCTATTAATCTCATCCTTCCAAAATACCCATCCTATCGTCTTCCCACCATAGCATCAAACAGTATTTTTTTAAAAATGAGTCCAGCATCCTGGCCTGGCCTCAACCACCCTTCTTGGAAACCTGTTCCAGTGGTTAATTACCCTCTAGTTAAACAAAAACTTCCTGGTGTCTGACCTGAAATTGCTTTGTGCAATTCTAAACCTATGTTCACTTGGTGCATCCAAAAGTATTGTTCTGGGGAATATTAGTGCATTAGCAATAACGGAACCCTTTTATTTTCAGTGGTCCAGCAAAAGCCAGGACAATGGCATATTTTGGCGAAGGCCAAGGACCTATCCATCTGGATAATGTTAAGTGTATGGGCCACGAATACTCACTCAGCGACTGTGACACACAGGACTTCGGGATTCACAACTGCTTGCACAGTGAGGATGCGGGCGTGATCTGCAATTACAAGGAGGATGTACTGGAAGAGTTCAGCAGGGGAGGAAAGTAAATTGTGAAAGTAGCGACAATTCAACGTAAAAAGTTAAACATAGGAAATTAGAATCGGCCACTCTAATATAAATTGTCCTGCTTAGAACTTTATTTAGACCATGTCTCGTCCTAAATAATGGATGTTTTGTTTAATATAGCTTCAAACGTTTGTTCTGAATAATCTAAATAAATTTTTTGTTACGAATTGCATGTTGAAGGAAACTAACATTTTTCTTGGCTGATTGAAGTTAAAGATTGACAATTGATAGATTTTTGTTTTGAATGTTTAGACTCCATGCCTTCAATCTGTGGGCTACGCTCGATGAATCATCGCAAAAAGCGTATTATTGGAGGAAAGAAAACCATCAGGTAGGCGTTTGAAAAGATGCATTTTTTCCTCATGCATCGTCATTTTGACTTCTCAGCTGATGTAAAATTTAATTATAATAGTATTCTGTTTACTCTGAATAAATATAACATATACTTGTGATAAGGATCCACGATTAGAAAGTTTGTTCTGCTGTTTTTCAAAGTGTATTCCTTTCATGCTTTAATTGTTTCATTCTTTTGCTTGGCTATGTATATCTAGACTCATTGTCACATGTCTTTTTATAAGGTGAGACTTCATCCAGTCTGCAGTCCATGTTCGATTTCCCCACAGAATGATTGCTAATATCAGCTGGGCAGCTAGAGTAAGAGATATTTTCGCAGTGAGGTAGGGAGAGGACATGGAAAAGCAAGCCACTATTTAGCATCTGGTTCAAGAGTAGCTCTGGAAGACCCCAAAAAATGAACAAAAATGGAGAGAATATACCATTTTTGGTCATTATTTAGTTCATTCACAATCTCTTTCCACTCCTATGAGTGTCGAGTGGATTGTATGGTACAGAAGTTGCATTTGTTAAATGTTTCAGAATCCAATATGAAATACATAAATTATTTAACAATATTTGATTGTGTTTGTACTTTTTACTTTGTTATCTTACATGTTGTAAATTTATAGTTGTTCACAGTAAGCGTGTCCTGTTTGATCGCATATCATTACATCTTGTTTATTGTTCTTAACGTTGCACAGTGCAATATGATTTAGACCTTCTGGTTTCCTTTATCTGCTCTAAGATAAACACTGATGCACTCCATTCTCTTTGAATGTTTATGTAAGTATCACATTGTTTCCAAGTTTGCACAAAATACTCCAGTCCCCTCTCCCCAAATGTATATCTCTCATGGTTAACAATGTGTGCAACTGAATAGATTCAATGTTCTCCAGAGCTCTGCTCTGCCATGTATGAGAGTACGTCCACAGAAATAACAATTATCCCAAGTTAACATACAGTGACCAAGAGGAAGACAGTGTAAGCCTTAACATCCAATTATTCTTTTTGATCAAAGAGATTACTAGGAGTTTCCATGATGATTGTGAAGGTTAATTGATTTATGCAGTCATTAGACAAAGGTGTGTTATTTCAATGGAGATGTTTAAATGTGTGCCCGGGTCTGTGTTTGCAGAGGTGGATGGCCATGGCAAGTGTCGCTGAGGCTCAAGACTTTTCATCGAGGGACCCGCTTGTTGTGTGGAGCCACGTTAATCAGCAACTGTTGGGTGCTGACAGCAGCTCACTGTTTCAAAAGGTCAGCAAGGAATCAAACACTTTCATTATTTGATCATTTTGTTACCTGTTCCTCACAGAATCAGTTGGGTTGATTGTACAAAATGCTCCTTTTAAAAAAAAAAGAAGTAGAATTACTGACACCTCAATGTTAAAAAAAAAAAGCCTTGTTACTTACTGAATAGATCACTGACTCATCAGTCTCAGCAACCAACAATCTAAGGTCAAAGCTGAACGTTTGTAAGTTTATGTGAAATACATGGAGTTTCACTGCTGGACGCAGTTTGTTGCGAGCTGCCTTTTATGGTTCTGCACAAAGCAAATCTTTATTGGTGATATTGCAGTAATTCAGTTCTTGGCCTATACAGATTATGACCCTTATATTGCCACACAACCATTGAATAGCTCATATTACAACTCTACAAAACATCTGCACCAAAATAGGTTTGGATCTGAGCACTGACAGGTGGCCTAGTTGTTCTGCAATACAGTCAGCAGTGCTAATAATAACCACTTTTCTAGCATCTAACATGGATAAATTATTAAACTATTTTGCTGTAATGCTGCTATATTTGCATTTTTAGAGGGTGGTTCTGGGGATAGCATACTAGCCAGAACAAAGAAATGAGGTAGTCTGATGCATTTCTACCAGTGCCTCCAGGTTTGAATGGGATTTTAAGAGTTTTTTTTAAAAACAAAATGAATTCACCCTCACTTCTGATTGCAGCTTCCCATTCTTGATTACAGGACTGTAATTTCCCTGAGTGAGTTCCTGTTATGATGAAGTGATTGATGATGGCCAACACCCCTTTTCAGGAAACTTGGGAGCCATCAGCATTTTTCTGTGCTCCAGGAGTTATCAGATATATAGGAAAGGAGTGGGAGAAAAGGAGAAAAAACTACTATTAGTTTCTATAGAGGATTATTCAAAGTCTGAGGACAACTGTACACACAATACAATACAAAATTACATTTGTATTGTGGCTTTCACGTCGGGAGGATGTCCCAAGGCGCTGGACAGTCAGCAATTTGGACCCAAGCTGGGATCAAGATTGGTGAGGGGGGAGGGTAGGGAGGGTAGGAGGATGGCCGAAGGCTCGGTCAAAGAGGAGGGTTTTGTGACGTGCCGTGAAAGAGGCGAAGGGAATGTGGGATGGAGCTCCATAGTGAAACAGCACAATCTGAAGGGGGGGCTTCAGATTGTATGAGCAAATAGTGTGATGTATGGAGAGGTTGTGGGGTGGGGAGACTGAGAAACTGAAGATTCTGTCAAAGAAGATCAACAACAACAACAAAATACAACAACAAAATTACATTTTATAGCGCCTTTCACGTCGGGAGGATGTCCCAAGGAGCTGGACAATCAGTGTTTCAGACCTGAGCTGGGGTTCGGGATTGGGGAGGGTGGAGGGCAGGGGGAAGGAAGGTGATCGAAGGCACGGTCGAAGAGGAGGATCTTGAGATGGGTCTTGAAGGAGGCAAGGGAGGGGGTGAGGTGGAGGGACTGCGGGATGGAGTTCCAGAGGGTGGGGGCAGAGTGGCAGAAGGTCATGGAGCCTGGTGCTGGAGAGGAAATGGGCTGCAGAGTTCTGGATGATCTGCAGCCTATGGAGGGATGAGTTGGGGAGGCTGACAAGCAAGGAGTTTGCATAGTCAAGCCTGGATGTTATGAATGTGTGTATGAGGGTTTTGGCATCTTGCGGTGTGAGACAGTGGTGGAGCCAGGCGATATTGCAGAGGTGGAGGAAGGCAGAGCGGATGTCATGGCACGGATGTGGGGTAGAAAGAATAGTTGAGGGTCAAACAAGACTCTATGGTTTCGGACTGGCTCAGTGAGGTGAAGTGTGCATCCTTGGATGGTGATGCTGTCAGCGCCTGAGGTGAGGAGGCCCTGATGGGAGCAAATCAGGAGAGCCTCATATTGTTGACATTCAACTGAAGAAAGTTAGCTCTCATCATTGATGTCTGATGGACATTCTGTCAGGCAACAGTGGTACTGGAGTCAAGGGTGGAGGCAGAGCTTAGCTGCTTAGGTAAGTCTCCAGAGGGCAGCTCAGTGTCAGTGGGCCTTCAGGAGGGGCAATAAATGGCAAACTTTTTTTTGATCAAGCACATTTATTGTTAGTTGTCACTGCTGCCACACAAACCACTGTGGGGCACAATGGTCTCCCCACGGCAAAATGAATTATGTTGGGGTAACTTCCAACTCTCCTTTCAACTCATCAGTGAGTGACATAAAGTGCAGCCAGGAGACTTGCATGCTGTAGAATGCCTTGCCTGGAGAACCTAAGAAAGATAGAGAAAATTCTACTGCGTTGTTTAAGTAAAAACTCATTTTCATTAACTGGTTTCTTGTTTCAGGTTTGGTGATGAGACAAGACACTACTTTGTTCGAGTAGGAGATTATCACACTGGTGTGGAAGATGAATATGAGAGGGAAGTGCCTGTGGAAAGGATTGTAATCCACAGAAACTATAAGGCAGACAGCAGTGATAATGATATAGCAGTGGTCAGAATGAAGGGCAGGGAAGGACACTGTGTGACATTTAATCAGTACACAATGCCAGTATGTTTACCAGAGAGAAGGGGAAAAGCCAGAATAAACAGGCAGGCCTGTTTCATCACTGGCTGGGGAGATACAGGTAAGAGATTATCGGTTTGTGTAGTCAATGGTGTGGATCAGGCTAACATTATGCCGTCTTTTAGCAACCTGCCCAGATTATTATAATATATTATACCCCTAATATATTCAACCCCTAAATTTTAAAATTCACACTCAAGTTTTCCTTGGAGGCAAGATTTCAGACACTAGTGAGGTCATGAGGGGGCAGAGAGTCTGCCTCCCAGCTGCTTATGTGCATCACATAGAGAAACAACCAAGGATCATCATTTGTGCTATCCAGTCTGATTCTAGTGGTTAGAATATCCCAAGTTACAGATTGATTAACTAATTGATAGAAATCCATAGAATGCAAGTATTAATGCAACTAGTTGCACAATAATTTTGAGACTTGGAATAACAACCACAAATTATATTTGTATAGCTCCTTTCATGCTGTAAGGATGACCCAAGGACAATCAGGGATTTGGACCCGAGCTGGGGGTTGGGATCAGGAGAGGTGGAGCGCAAGGAGGGTACGGGTAGGAGGGTGACCGAAGGCGCAGTCAAAGATATTATAATATTTATAATATTATAATATTTCTGACAACACATAAGAGAAGCATTGATGCCTAGATATGTTCTGTTAACATTTCAAAGTGGCTACAGAACATTGGTGACTGACATCATGAGCAGTCCTGAATGAATCACTTTGTTTGTTTGTTTGACTCCCTTTTTTAGGAAGGTCCTATTCAAGAACATTGCTTCAGGGCGCCGTTCCCTTATTACGGAAGCAAGTCTGTGCCAGTCGTTACAGGAACAAGTTTACATCCCGGATGATATGTGCAGGAAATTTGTCTGAACACAACCGGGTTGACAGCTGCCAGGGGGACAGTGGTGGCCCACTCATGTGTCAGAGGACAAGTGGGCGCTGGGTCATTTTAGGGATTACTTCCTGGGGTTATGGGTGTGGGAGGAAGGATTCTCCTGGAGTTTACACAAAGGTGTCCAAGTTTGTCTCGTGGATCAAGAAAGTGACAGCATTAAAGTAAAATAAGAAGAAACCTGGTTCAAAGAAAGATAATGACTAATGTGAAGTGCAAACACTGTTCCAATGTAAATGACTCAATTTCTTATTTGTCTGAATGTACCAAAGACTACTTGGAGCAATAATATTAAGTGTAACCTCTTCATTGCCCTTTATAAAGCATAAACTACAATAATCTCAAACAGGAAAACACCCTACAGCAGGGACTGCTATGAATGATATATTCTAACATTATAACGATTGAGAAAAGATTTTTTGAATTGAAACATCTTTCTTTAGTTTTCTTAGTCATATGTTTTTGGGCTATTTAAATATATTGCGCTCGGCTGCCCTGAATGGATGCTTTGCTGTTGTATATGTGTGTTTGTGGGGTACCTCAGGCTAGTGGAGTTGTCCACCTTACATAACTTGTAAGAAAGGCTATTCTTACTTTGCAAAGAAATACTGATGCTGGTTGATATAGAACAGCACAGATGCTGATTGTGAGAAATCCACAGGACTGGCTCACTCTCCTTCTTTCACAGCTGAAGAAGAATAGTATGGAGACAAAAATGAGCAAAAAAATTGCTATATTTAAAAAACATATCAGGTTATTATACACAATTCACCAAATGTTCTGTTTATTCCTACTGTCGTGTTGGCCACATTTAGCGAGTAGCGCATTCATGCTCCCATTACAGCTGACAATAAATGAGATTTACAGTGGCAACTCAAAGCTAACATAACTTCAGCTCCTGAAAGATAGTGAAACTGACATCAAGAAATTACAATAAAGAATGTGAAATACTTTGAAAAAAAGAATAAATGTTTACAAGGAAAAAGAACCAGTGTAATACGAACTATAATTCTAGTGCACTAAATTTAAGGAAAGGAATAAACTTAGGAATAACTACAAATCATAGTCTTACTGGGAGATGGATGTGTATAGAACAAGTTTTTGAATGCTATATACTTTTCTCTATATTCGTGTGCTGCAAAGAGCTTTGCCCAATAATCTTGGTCTGTGCTGATGTAGATTGTCTCACTTTGATTGCTCCTGGGGAAGGGAAGGTTAAATATGAACAGATTTCCACCCTTGATATGCAGCGATCCTCTGGATTGAAACATGAGGTGAGGTCAGGATCTGTCTCAGTTGTGATGCTCTCTGCAGTCAAATAACCTATAGGTATGCACATGTCTGGGGTCATATGAAGAATAGCTATTTGAGTGAGGAACCGGAGGACACTAACATCTGTGAAAACATATTCCAATAAGAGGCAGTAGCGTAAGGAGGGGAGAAAATTGGCAAACTTGAAAGTAGCTATTTGAATTAAGCAGAAACCCGTTTTAAACAAAACAGCATTTGAGCTTTGTAGCCAGAGTCCCATAAGCCTGCAACAATTCTGCTTTTCATTTTCAGAAGTTTCTCTCTAATTCTATGAAATGTATCTCTGAGACGATGGCCAAAGCTTGCATAAGCGTAAGACAAGAGATGATGTGCCAAATTCTGCTTGTAAAGTATGTGTGTATTTTAGATGATGATATTTATCAGCTCAACTGAAAGAAATAGTCATGAGCTTTGAGAAAAATATAGTCCTTCAGATGGTGAACTGCTAAATGAACATAAAATGCTAATTTTATATTGTTGCTGTGTTTTAACTGTTGTCGATACTGTATTTTCAATTGAGTGGAATTCTATTAGTTTACCAGTAGGTGGCAGATTTGCTTTCTGTGTCCTATTCCACGTCTCGCAGCTTGTCCTTTTTTAATGCCATAGATATTAGAAATGCATCAAAGAGAGAAATCAGTAACAACTATTGAAACATTGTGATTTACTGCTGAAAATAACATTTAGAAATATTGTGTGTCTTGTTTTAAAATGTCCATCAAATATTGTATATTGCCAGCGCTCCTCGGCATGCAGTACGAACAAATGATAGTAAAAACACAACTGACCACATGACTTCCAATGTGTCCAAACTTTTCCTTGTGATTCAGATACATTTTCTCTAATTGTATTAAATTGTTTTTATTTTTTGTTTGTGTATGTATGTCTATGTGGTGTGCGTGATGGGGATAATTCCACTTTTCATTATTGCTTTGCACACGAATATACAGTATATACTTTAAAATTATGTGACTGTATTTTGTAGGCAAACACAGCAATATCTCACAAATAGCCATGGAGTGGATGACCAGTTTTATTTGGGGTGTGTAAGTCAGGACACCAGGAGAAGTTTTCTTCTCTTTTCGAACAGTCCACCTGAACAGGCAGATTCTCAGTTTAACGCCTCACCTGAAAGACGGCACCTCTGACAATGCAGTGCTCCTCCAACACTGCACTGCAGTGTCAGGATAGACTATCAGCTCAAAGTCCCAATGTGCGCTTGAAACCCACAACTATCTAACTTGATGAAGAGGTTCAGGGCAAAGGTCAGTTCCTTCCACATTACAAGGAAGTGTCACTCCAAGGCCAATCTTACACAAATCCCAAAAGGCCAAATCCAGAGCATGATTGGTATAGCCAGGGTAGCAGGTTACTCACCCTTGTTCCAGTATAGGTAACCGAGCTGAAACTTTCCCAATTTTTGAAAGGAATTTATCTCACAAGCAGAATTTGTCATTTTCCCCCCAACATTTAGAATAATTGAATAAATTTGTCCTGCATGTATACTGGAAAAGGCAAGCAACTTTCACATTTGTAGGCTTTTTAAATCAGCTGTAAATCAGTTCATTAAATCATACTTAATGTAGAGATATTTAAGTAATGGGTGGACTCTAAGTCTTTAATTTGAGGCAACCCATTGGACAATTGACAATTAAATAATAATAATCCTTGCACTTAATATAGCAATTGGTAGCCACAGTATGTTTGTATTCAAGCTTCTCAGACATATGCAATGAAGATAATAGTGTATATTTATTTGCATATATTTGCAAATGCCCAATATAGCAGTGGCTCGATGGGTGATTGCACAGGATAATGTTTGCATGTTGGCTGCATCATGCCGAATGGTGATTATGATTTTAGCAGGGAATCTGCAATCTGGAGTGAACAATCTAGCTGATGTGCTCACAGTGCTTGGATTAAATTTGGTGAAACCTCAAAAAAAACGAAAGAATTAAGTTACTGCTACTGGTAAATCACACTGAGAATCAGAAGTACAAACCCATGATTTGGTTAGTAGCTAATAAAACTTAGCTACATAAGACAAGCTCCTTAAAAATAACTGTTTATTACATAATAATATATTTATTTGTGAGTAAGAAAATGGGCAACATTAGAGATTGTGAAGGTCAAATCCTGTCAGTGTGTTTAGTTGAATGGCAGTAGAAATACTGTAGTAGCAGACAGATTCAGTCAGATCCAATTTTCCAATAGGCATAAATAAGATGATGATCACTATTTAAATCACAGTTGACGCAAGCTGCCCGCTATCACGGTTGGCATCACGAAGCATGCTGCCAAGATCCAATGTATACACAGTGACCATAAGCAGATAAACTGGAGCCATGTAAGATTCAAACACATGACCAAGCTTGTTAATAATCATGTGATGCATGAAAAGTGTCAATAATTGGTGGCAAACAGTTGCTTTAGGAATGACACTGGTGTAGACATTTCATCAGTGCCGGGGTCAGTTGCCCAAAAAATTTAAACAGTGTTTAAAATTTGTACATGTGTCCCATTTTGCAATGAGATATGCCTTTGTCTATTTTCATCCCTTTACTTCCTCCCCCTCCCTTCCTTTTTTTGTTCCCTTGGCCGCAAACTAACTCCAGCCAATAGGGCAGGGGGCTAACCTCCCCATTTATGTCACAGGTGGAGATTGTTAACTCCGAGTTAAATCTGTGGGGGATTTTAGAGATGTGCATTTTCATACACCATGAAATAACTCATACACTTTAATCAAGAATATTGTTTTTGTTCAAGCGCATTTAAAACTTTAACTTGAGAGTGAATCCAATCTGAATCAAATTAGGTCTAAGCTGAATTCCATCTACATTACTGATGCAAAGATATTTGTCATGTTAACAAAAAGTCAAAGTCACAAGCTTAGGTTACAAACTACTATCCTTGTCATAAATCATGTGGCAGACATAGAAATTGCTGCCTAATGTAAGTTAAAGTTGAGCAATGCAGTGAAATGTATGCTCCTAAACATATTGTTCTGATTATTGTTCTAGAGGCACAACTAATATGAAATTATTAGCTGCGTGGGCTGAAAGGTTTCAAGCCTTTGCTGTAAGATAATAATAATTACCCTGACATTTGATTATTCTCAAAGCGCTTCCCATGATTTATCATAAAGTGTAGTGAATGTGTAATTGGTAGGTGAATGCGGAAGCCGATTTGCACACAGCAATATCCCAGAAACGGCCATGAACAATTTCATTTGCTGTAGATGAGGGAAATTGCATGCGCCTTGGCCAGTTTTATCTTTTCATACTTATCTGTCATCATTTTGAGTGGTGCAAAAAGTCACAGTGGCGCTGAGACTAATTACTGGAGTGGGCATTAAGTTGCTGCCATGGTTTTCCCCATTTCTTTGAGGATAAACATTACTTATTTTGAGGATAAACATTACTTACGGAGTCCTGTAGCTCAGTGGCTAGAGCACTCGCTTTGCAAGTGAGAGACCTGAATTCAATTCCAGGCAGGGCGAAACCTTGGGCAAGTTTCCTTACTCCACACACCTAATAATAATCCCTCCAAAACCAAAAACAATAATAAATTGGTCATTTTCAATCTACGACTGTTTGTGGGACATTGCTGTGCGCAATTGGCTGCCGCGTTCGCCCACAAATATACAGTCAATTCACTTTACAGTGTGTTCTGTGAAGCCCTTTGGGACGTCCTCCTGACGTGAAAAGCATTATATCAAATGCAAGGATTATTATTATTATTATTATTGAATCCTAAAGCGAATCAAACAAAATCTTGGAGTTCAAAACTGTGCTTATTTTTAGAACAGTGCAGTGTCTGCATAGTAACTTGCTTCTTCGAGTGACATCATCACCTGTCCATCACAAGGTGATATTGATGACAGCCTAGCTGAAGGTCCTGGTGTGTTGGCT